ACTATCAAAGAGGTGATATTTATTCCTTACGGCATCATATCTGGTGTGCATAATTTCAGCATGACTTATTCTGGTGGTATAAATTATCTGTCATCATTTGGTTAAAGTAGTATTTGAATTTTTTTTTCCAATGTAGAAATTATTATTTTTTCCTTCCTAAACTCAATTTGATAAAAGCAAGTTTCTTAAGTTCAGTGCCCTCAAGGAAAGGGGAACTAAGCTCCACCTCCTGGTGGGAAAACTTTCAAAGAATTTGTGGACATATGCTAAAACATCACAGTAATCCATAAATATTTTGTTGGAGATACTGTGAGGCTCTGCCAACATCATGTTACTAGTTAATATTTTGTCCCCTGATTTTTGCAAGCATCAGTGTCTTAATTACTCCAGCAATGTACTAGTAATTATTTTCTATTTCCTTTAGTCCTTCTACATTTATTAATTTGAATTGTTCTGTTAAAAAGTTTGTCATTTGTCTCTGTTTGTTTACTTGTGCATTCATTCATTCATTTATTCAATCATTATTTATATCAATGTACACTATTTTGCATTTCCACTAGCAATGAATTAGAGTTCTTATTGCCCTGTGCTCTAATCAACACTCGATGTAGCCATCTTGATTTTTTCCATGACATTGTCAGGCTGCAAATTTTCTGAACCTGTGTGTTCTACTTCCTTTATAAAACTGATGCCTTTAATAGCACCCAAGTCATGTCATTAATGCTTTGCTGCTTAGAAATGTCTTCCACCAGATACCCTAAATCATCTCTCTCAAGTTCAAAGTTCCACATATCTCTAGGGCTGGGTAAAATACCACCAGTCTCTTTGCTAAATAACAAGAGTAATCTTTGCTCCAGTTCCCAACATGTTCCTCATCTCCATCTGAAACCACCTCAGCCTGGACCTTATTGTCCATATCACTATCAGACTTTTGGTCCAAGTCATTCAACAAGGCTCTAGGAAGTTCCAAACTTTCCCACATCTTCCTGTCTTCTTCTGAGCCCTCCAAACTATTCCAATCTATGCCTGCTACCCAGTTCCAAAGTTGCTTCCACATTTTCAGGTATCTTTTAAGCAATGCCCCACTCTACTGGTACCAATTTACTGTATTAGTCCATCTTTACACTGCTGATAATGACAAATCCGAGACTGGAAAGGAAAAGAGATTTAAGGGACTTACAGTTCCAAATGTCTGGGAGGCCTCAGAATCATGGCAGGAAGAAAAAGGCACTTATTACATGCTAGCAGCAAGAGAAAATGAGGAAGTCACAAAAGGAGAAAACCCTGATAAAACCATCAGATCTATTGATACTTATTCACTACCATGAGAGCAGTATGGGGAAAACCACCCCCATGATTCAAACGATCTCTCACCTGCTCCCTCCCACAATATATAAGAATTATGGGAATTTGATTCAAGATGAAATTTGGGTGGGAACCCAGAGCCAAACCGTATTATAAGCCATACTTGGACTTTAGCAATTTCTTAAAAAAAAAATAGCTACATGTTATTACTGGTTTATATGGTGTCTAGGCTCAAGTATGCAAATTCCAGGGTCCTGTCTTTCTCATTAGTTCTTTTGCATTAGTTCTTTTCCCTGCCACTGCAGTTCTCTGATGAGTTAAATAAAATTCTTTAATTTGCAGTTTGTACAAATTTTTTTCTTGTAGTAAGGTTGGGAGCAATATCCTTTCCAGCTCTCTACATCTTTGAGCTCTCAGCTGACATTTGAAAAGATTGTTTAAATATATTCAAGAATATTGCTAAGATTAGACTGTCTTTACTCAGCCCAAAGAGTGTTATGATTTGCAGTGATGCCATAGATATGAAAATAGGTGAGTTCTTATGTTACCAATGCATAGATTGGCAATAACTGCAATATCAGTGCATAGAATGATTTTAAAAAATAATTAAAAATCTAATTACAAATACAACAACAGATGTTTTGCAAATGTTAATGGCTCAGTTGTTCAAATGCTTAAACATACTTTATTTAAACAAAGGTCAACAACAGAAAGAAAGAATTTCATTAGACTTATATCAACAGTTCTAAAGAAAAACTACAGCATGGCATTTACAAGTAGTATCACTATACAAATTGACAAAAGAAAAATTAATAGTGTGGGCATGACACTCGGGAAAAAACGTCTAAGAAATTTCAGCATCGTTTTAAGAGACTTCAAAAAGTAACCTCCAAACCACCCTTCAAGGCACAGCCAGAGAATAATCTCACTCTAATTGTCACTTTCACAGAAAGTCTCAATGCACTTATGTTTACGAGATGATCCCAATATCTCAGCTTTGTATAAGCCAATGTGTAATAGTATAAAAATGTTTACAGATAGAATATTCTAACACAGTCTTAACAGAAAAATGGTGGTTAGATATAAAAATAAGTGTCTCCAAAGGAGCAGGGATATTGTTAATTTGTACTCTGAGCATTGTTATGGATGCAGATTTGCAAGTTTGGGCCAGGAACTAGAGATAAATGTTGCTCTATATAATAGTGATAGAGGAATGAGGAAAAACAAGAGGAAGATCAAGAGAAGAGCAAGGAAGCTGGCAGCAGACCAGTGTGCTAGCAGGGTAAGAACAGCCACCATAGTCTCCAGTTGGGAAATAAACCATTTGATTTTAAGTTATTGTGAAGTCAGTAAGAAGGCTTGGGTAAAAAAAGCTGCTTCACGTTACTTCCTTATATCCACGGTGTTTGGAGTGTTACAATCCCAGAGCAGAAACTGTTTAACCCCAGGGAAAGGATAAAATACTTCTTCCAGAAGCAGAAATCAACCAAAAGGTACTTGGCAATACCTCTTCTCATCCCCATGTTCTTCTATAGAACTCAGCGAAGTCTTGAAAGAGCTATTAGATTTTCACACTTCCAGAAATGAGGCAACCTCCACACCTCCTGTGTTTGCCAGCAGCAGTCTACTCATGTGTCTGATTATTTAACTTAATTTTTTAGTTATAACTGACACATCATAATTGCACATATTTATGTACTTATGATGTACTTATGAGGTACAATGTGATATTGCAACATATATATATACATGGCATGATGATCAAATTAAGGTAATTACCATATTCAGCACTTTCCAACATTTATCATTTCTTTGTTGTGTCAACATTTAAAATCTTCTCTTTTGGTCATTTTGAAATATGCACTACATTGCTATTTGCTGTAGTCACCCTACTGTATCATAGAACGCCAAGTTTTTTTCTTCCTAATTGTAACTTTGCACCCACTGACTAACTTCTCCTGGTCCCCTACCACCACTTACCTCAGCTTCTAGTAGCTACTCTGTTACTATTGCTTTGAAATTAACTTTTTTAGATTCTACATATCAGTGAGAACATGTGGTATTTGTCTTTCCATGCCTGGTTTATTCCACTTAATGTCCTCAGGGTTTATCCATGTTGTCACAAATGACAGGATTTCATTCTGCTTTATGGTTAAATTTTGTCCACGTGTGTGTGTGTGTGTGTGTGTGTGTGTGATGTGTGATAGTTTCTTGATCCATTCATCTGCTGATAGGCATTTAGGTTGATTCTATATCTTGTCTTGTGAAGAGTGCCGCAATAAATAGGCACATGTCTCTTTGACATACTGATTTCATTTCTTTGGGGTATATAACTAATAATGGGATTGCTGGATCATATTGTAGTTCTATTTTTAATTTTTTGAGAACCCATTATACTCTTTTTCATAAAGGCTGTACTAATTTACATTTCCACCAACAGTATGTCAGAATTCCCTTTTCTCTGTTCCTCACCAGTATTTGTGTGTGTGTGTGTCTTTTGGATAATAATCTTTCTAATGAGAGTGAGGTGATAACTCATTGTGGTTTTGATTTGCATTTCTCTGATGATTACTGATGCCGAGCACTTTTTTTATGTATCTATTGGCCATTTGTATGCTTCTTCTAAGGAAGGTCTATTCAGGTCTTTTGCCCATTTTTAATGGGATTATCTGTTTTCTTGCTATCAAGTAGTTTGAGTTTCTTAGATATTCTGGGTATTAACCCCTTGTCAGATGCTTCATTTGCAGACACTTTCTATTATTCTATAGGTTGTCCCTTCATTTTAATGACTGTTTCCTTTGCTGTGCAGAAGACTTTGATTTAATGTATTCTCATTTGTCCAGTTTTGCTTTGATTGCCTGTGCTTTTGAGGTATTATTTTCAAATCCTGATCCAGTCTTCTTTGTAACACTAGAGTGTCATCACCCATTTGTTCATAGAATATATCACTCTTTTGAGAGGTTAGGAGATTGTATTTGGTGTTTGTGTTTATAATAATGGAAATGAAGAAAAGATTCTGCTTATTCATCTATCCATGCACCTCCAAACACAGGAACCACAGAGCCCTAGAGCAGGCCCAATGGAACAAAATGTTTCTGGAAAAGTCATTACAGCAATCTACTCATGCTTGTTCCTGATGTTGTGTATAGCACATTGTACTTGGTAAGGATCTCATTTCTTTCCTGAAGATAACCCAGTGAAATAGGCAGTGTTATTCTCAGGGAATTTACATATTTTGATGCCAACGCTAAAGTGCTAGTTACCAACCACAGCTGTGTCTTCCTCACCTTATCACCACATTCAAGACTGCCTACTTATGATCGCACAAAATTATCAGACAGGAATATTGGAATCTTTCCAACGTTCCCATTAGTTGCATAGAAACAAAATGAAAAAGTTCCTTGAGAAAGTTCCCTTAATCATGAAGTGATTAGCTAATTGCCTAAAAACCTAAAAATAAGGACCATAATATTATTTAATATTGAAAATATTTATGATTGCTAACAGATAATTAATATCTTTAAGTACTAAATTTCATATTTACTCTAATTATAAACAAAGGACAGGACTGTATTAAATGCCCTAGAAAAATATTTGAGGAAATAACAGAATGTATCAAAAACTATATAACAGTATTTCAGTATTCTCACTGTGATGGGTTATCTGTAATTTTCACTTTATAAATTTTTCTTTGACATCTTCCAGTTTCCTAAGTTATATGAATTAAACCTGTGAACTGAAAAAAGAAAATATGGTTGTTCTATATTAAGGTCTTTTGGGTAGATATTGCTATCCTCCTATAATTAGAAGATTTTTTTTCCTCCCACACAGCTGAAGTATTCTATAATTTTTTAAAAAAATGAAATGTTATTTTTAAAATAGCCAAGAAGCTATTGAATATAGAGTCATGTACTATCTTTGGTAAACCAAAAGATCACAAGCTTGGAAGCAAGTTTATGTATTTTAAAATAGTATCTTTTAAATAGGTCAACATCATTACTTTAGAAAGAGATCAACTGATCAAATGTATTCATCTTACAAATGAAAACACTTTCACCGAAGAGATAAAATGCCTTTCCCCAAATCACGAAAAGAGTAGGATACCTGGAAACAGGGCTTGGGTCTTCTCTCCCTGACTCCAGTGTGATTATTGGATTATCACAGAAATATTAACTATTTAGTACAAAATGATTTGTAGTCTTTCATAAAGGTAGCTAATCTACTACAGGCCAGTCTTCATTTGCTCATCTTAACAGGTGTCACATCTAGAGAACCAAAACTAAACTTACAGCTGAAACCTTGACTTATCCCACACAATTAAATTTCTTTCATCATCCATAGGCAAATGAGAAAAAAAAATAGTGTTCTGTTTTGGTCAAACGAGAAGGTGGGTTGAAGAGAAATAATTTCTATGTTTACAGCTGGCTCTGAATTCCTAAAAAGAAGAAGGCATTTACCTTTGCTTAGAAAATACCTTGATAGAAATCTGAGGAGGGAAAACACTAAGGCCTTAGGAACAGTTCTATATAGAAACAGCAAAGTAAAAAAAATAGTAATATTGCCATACATAGCCATTTAACAGAAACTTGGAGCTGAAGAAAGAGCCTGTGGTAAAGAATGTCAACTTAAAACAATAAGATCTATAAAAGCAGAAAAGGAGAGCTTTGTTTCTTGTAAAAAATTACAGCCTGTAGGTTGGGGAACAGAACCTCTGGCAGAAGTTGAAAGCAGGTGCTTCAGAGACAAAAGGTAGAGAGACTGAGATTTCTTTTTGAGATTAGGTATGCATACAAATATAGTAGGATATAGGAGAATCTTATGAATATTTATGAGGGAACCCTAACGCATGCATATATGGTACCTATGTCCCATGATCACTTGATCACTTTGGGGTGGAGATTTAATATTAAAGTAAGGTAAAACTTGGCTGTTTACATCAGAAGGTGAAACACATGACACAGAAGCATCTTGTACACAGCCTCTGTGGACCAGGCAAGACCACTTTGAAGCTGATGGTCAGGATGGAATGCTTTTTAAGGCTAGTATTTTTTTTCATCACTTTTCGTGATGAAACCATGTGAAGTCACAGGATGTTGGCCACTACAACAGGTGTTCTATTAAGCTGAAGGGAGAAATCTTCCAGACACAGATTTTCAGGAACTGTTTTCTGTTTAATGTAGGAAAGTGGTGAGGTGGTTAATGAGATAAGGGAATATTGAAGCATGACCGACCGACTGCTTGCCTTGCCAAAGCTCTAGAATCTAACATTCATCTGAGGTCTCTTTTGCCAAAAGGAGTCAGATTAAATTCACTGGGAGCCCTACTGGATATATTTTTATGTCACAGGAAGAAATGAGTCCAAATAACATAGTAGGATGTTGAACAATGAGAATGAAAATGAAAATGTTGATGGAGTGTCTAAAATCCTTTGAAGAACAGTGACATTTAAATATAATTTCTTTTATTTGCTAACCGTACCCTCATTATTGAGTAAGGAAAAGGAAATATTAAAATTAGAAAAAGAAACACCAAAATTTGTTACAAACCTAAACCTCTAGGACCAGTGACTGCTAACATATTTTCTAATGTTTTATGTACTTCTTTACTGAGGTTCTATTATTTGCAAGTAGCAATATATGAGTTTTAGATGTTCCACATTCTTTTTTCACATTTAGTATTATTTGAATGTTTTTATTTTAGGTATCCTGGTGGGTTTGTAGAGGTATCACACTGTTGTACCAGGCACTATTTTAGGTGCTTTATATGTAGTATCTATTTAATCCCCAATAAACCCATGTGGAAACAGGCATTTATAAATGTCAAGCCAGAGTTAGAATATGAGTTGTCAAACTGTGGAGTTTCAGGTCTTAACCTTTGTTATAGCTGCCTCTACAAGTACCACATCAGTTCTTTTCTTCATTTTCCAGCACATCATTCTACAGGTATGGTTGTTGTAGTGAAGGAAATTAAAATCAATCATTCTTTTTCCATTAGCTCAGAATATTAATCAAATTGATGTGGCATTTTCTCCCTTTAACCTATGACATTCATAAAGCTGTCTTTGAAACACAGAGAAATTAGCATCCATTCTGAAAGATCAGTTAGCATGACTGATGAAACAAAGGAAAGCTCTAGAACTGTCATCCAATTGTAATTGTGCACAATTTAAGGTTTTAAATCACAAACAATATGATGAATACCTCCTTTACCACACCTGTAAATACATTTTTGGTAAAGTTAAAAGTGTAACCAATCCATAGGGCATACTAACTTACTCTTTTAACTATTTGTACAGTAAGGCTTAAGATTGTGAGCAATTTTCTTCAATATACAAAAATGAAAAAAAAAAGAAGTAACTCCTTTCCCTGTATTTATTTTAATTAAAAGAATTTTTAATAGACAAATAATAGTTGTGTGTATTTATGGGATACAATGTGATATTTTAATATGTGTATAGATTGTAGGACGATTAAATCAAGCTAATTAACATGCCCTTTATCTCATCTACTTTTTATTTTTTATAATGAAGACCTTTAAAAACTACTCTTTTAGAAATTTTGAAGTATATGTCATTATCAACCATGGTTACCACGCTGTGTAATAGAGCACTAAGACTTACTCCTTCTAACTGAAACTTTATACCCTTTACCAACATCTCTTTCTCATTTCCCACTTCCACAGCCTCCAGCAACCATGATTTTACTCTCTGCTTCTATGAGTTTGACTTTTTAGATTTCACATACAAGTGAGATCATGCAGTATTTGTCTTTCTGTGGCTGGCTTATTTCACTTAGGACAATGTCTCCAGGTTCATCCACATTGTTGCAAATGACAGAATTTTCTTCTTTTTAGGCTGTGTAGGTACTTTGTCTTCTTGAACATTCTTCTTTATTCATTAAATAAAACCAGAAGCTTGAAATTCCCCAAATGTATGATAAATTGACTATATTACATCCACTTTTCTTTTAACCTATGGGTATCTTCTACTAATTGTTGGTGACTTGCTGCTTCTTTCTATCATGTAAATGAGTCCACGTGCTGACAGTAGTTGGAATCTCACCAACATGGTGTAATTCAGGTTCCTGGGGGTGAAAAAATAATCTCACATGAAATTGATAATCTTGAGACAGAGCCAAATGTAACTATTTATTTTGTAATTTTTATTCTGAATTTTGGTGGGCAGGGTCAGGGAGAGGTGCTAGAAGAAGACGGTATTAAAGAATGCAGAGTTCCCTAAACATATTTTGGCAAAAGTAAGGAGAAGGAGAGGTATGGAAGTAGGAAACCTCAAGAAAGAAATTAATTTAGGGAAAACATATTCCATTTTCGTCTTAAAACTCATGTATCAGTAACAGTGTAGTGTTTTAACTGCATATTATTTTGAAAGTACATATATTGACAAAATTTTCTATTGTAAACCATAAACATTTGTGGAAAGTTTATCTTTACTGCATAGTACTAACTCTTTTCCTGACTTTAGCAATAAAAACTATAGCCAGCCTGTAATCCCAGCACTTTGGGAGGCCGAGGCGGGTGGATCACGAGGTCAAGAGATTGAGACCATCCTCGTCAACATGGTAAAACCCCGTCTCTACTAAAAAATACAAAAAATTAGCTGGGCATGGTGGCGCGTGCCTGTAACCCAGCTACTCAGGAGGCTGAGGCAGGAGAATTGCCTGAACCCAGGAGGCGGAGATTGCGGTGAGCCAAGATCGCACCATTGCACTCTAGCCTGGGTAACGAGAGCGAAACTCCGTCTCAAAAAAAAAAAAAAAAAAAAAAAAAAAAACTATAGCCTTGTACTTGGATTTGAATGGATCTCTTCAAGAACTGCTTGAAAGGAGATGATGAATAACACTGCTCAGGTAGCTCATTCCACATACCGTTTTCACAAAGTGCTAAACAACACTGAGAATACCAAGGCAAACAAGGAAATCAATAACATCAACATGATTTTAATGAAGAGTAGTATTTGTTCTCTAAGTATAATGAAGAAATGCTGACATTTTGCAGTGTTGAAAATCTAGAGACAGGTAATATTTTATTCGAAAAGTGAAATTTCATTATAGAAACATTAGGTCTACAATGGTCTAATATGATGAGATCACCACAAACAGAATAGAATTCTCAAGCCTCTGTTTCAGGTTGTATTTTCTGTTTTTAAGACAACTCAGATTGAAATAACTTCCTAACTTGTTTGTATGTACATATTTGAATAATTTGGGAAATGTTTAACACTGTTTTCTATTGTATTACTCCACTTTTGTTAAAAGTTAAACCATCAAAATACAACTTGTATACAATGTTTTTGTGCAATTCTTTCATAAATAACTCTTCAATCTGATTGCTATCAAGTAGAAATAATTCTAATGTGAATATTCAAAAGAGATCAGAGTTTTATATCTGTCATTATTTCTTAAATTTACCACATGCTAATCAAATTATACATTTAATTATCAAGATTTTACTTTAATTTATTGATTTGCATATGTGTGATATTCTTTTATGGAAATAAATTATATTATGCTTCCTAAAACTTTCAAGAAAATTTGTAAGTTTGAATTATCTTCTCTCTACTATCAGATGCACAAAATATCAATATTTTCTCAGTAATAATGATGTAATATTAAGTATGCTATAAGCAATGAAGTTTAGATCATTCTTAATAAAACAGAAGTGGTTAGACAATTAAAATCTATACAGTGAAATCCTTCCTCATATAAGTCCTACAGATAAATCAGAATTTTCAGCAAACTACTTTAGAACAGCCAACTTGACCCTGAGTCATCTCTCTATCACTTAGGCTATTTTCAAGTATATCACTAAGCTATAATTGATCTATGTTCTTAATATAATTACAGAGGAATTCAAGGTCTACATTATTTTATTTAAACTGAACTCCAAAACAATCAGGAAATATAGAATTTTTGCAGATGTTTTTATTTAATAGCAGACTTTTTTTTTAGGAGAAAAGGAATCTTTTTAGACCAAATTAGGTGAATGTTTTCAAGTGAGATGTAAAATAAAAAAATGATTTCCCACCAGAGCCTAAATCATAAATCATTTTCAAATAAATCAATGTACATTCCCTTCTGGTCTGGGATTTCATTTTCTTATATAATACATCTTCCTGAAACAAATGAAACTATCGTACACCCTTGCTAATAGAAAACTAATGGTAGGTAATACCTCAGATCCCTCATTTATAATACTTTTATACTTATTGCTTTATATCTCCATAAAGCTTCATTTTTATGTTTCACCGGAAAATTTCTAAGGAAGGAAAATCTGTTCTAAATCATTAGCTTTGTGTATTGGAAAACATATATTCATTATATATCATAGCAGGTTTTAAAAGTCAATTAGAATCAATCAATAGGAGTATTGCGTAGGATTTTGAATGCCTGATCTAGTCTTTGATAATAATTTTCAAAAGCATTCACATAGATCTAATTGACATTTATACCTTCTTTCAGAATTGGGTTTGCTCTGGAAAGAAAAATAACAACAGGATAGGATTAGATGACTATTACATTTTCATTTCTAGCTTTCAAATAACTGTGTTATTTATACTGAGGTAAAATTAGTGCTTTATTTTGTGGAGTTATGTAGACGTTGGCATCAAAAAACTTAAGAGTGTAAGAGAGAATTACGCTGATACAAGATAACAGTTACAAACACCCATAAATTGGAGGACATGAAGAGTTAGGGAAGTGCAGAAGAAAAGATGTTCCTTCCTGTTTCTGAGGAGCAGGATCAGGGAATAATGCTCAGAGGAAGTGACTTTTGAACTTGACCTTGAAGGATGAGTAAGAGAACCAGGTGTCAAAGAGGATCAAATGCTTCACAGCACACTTATTTTATACATATATATATAATATATATACATATATTATATATAATATATATACATATATTATATATAATATATATTTATGTGTATAAATGTATATAAGTGTATATAATATGTATATAATAAGTGTGCTGTGAAATGTATATATATAATTGCATTTTAGGTTCTGGGGTACATGTAAAGAACAGGCAGGATTGTTGCATAGGTATGTACATGACAATGTGGTTTGCTGCCTCCATCCCCATCACCTATATCTGGCATTTCTCCCATGTTATCCCTTCCCAACTCCCTACCCCCTGCTGTCCCTCCCCTAGTCTCCCCCCCAATAGACCTCAGTGTGTGATGCTCCCCTCCCTGTGTCCATGTGTTCTCATTGTTCAACACCCCCTATGAGGTGTTGAACATGCAGACAGCACACTTATTCAGGCCTAGTAACATCTTACATACCAAAGTACTGAGAAATGTCATCTTGGGAAATGTCACTGTGCAAAACTAGTAGCTGTGGCCACTGTAAAGCAAGAGAGGCATAATCTGAATAGTGTTCAGTGAGAGAGAAAAAGATGTAAAGGGAAGGGAAGAAGACTTGCTGCAGAGACAGACTCAGACAGACTTGGTAACTGTCTTATAAATTAAGAGCAAGTGAATACAAGTTTCCTAAAGCTCAGAGCAGTATTCACGCTCTGCTGTGACTTCCAACAGTCATGACAAGAAAGAAGGGTACCCACAACTACAAATGGTGTGCCCACTTCCACAGCTATTACAATAAAGAACACCACCTGTGAAGATAACAGGCAGGAATCACAGCTTATTTAACTGTGCAATGTTAAATATCACCTCACTGGTTTCATTTCTTATTCTTCTCTGCTGGTTTGTCCTGTACTCCATCACTTCATGTTCGAAGGTCCCAGGGCTCAGTCCGTGGTGGGCTTCTTCTCTCTCCATGCTCACTCTTGGGGATCTCTTCCATGCTCAGGGCACTAAACACCATTTTTATGCAGATGAATTCCAAGTTTCTATCCCTAGCCAAGAATCTCACCTACACTCAGAATTGCCTATTTGACACACCTACTTCAGTGCTTAAGACACTTCTCAGATTCGGCATATTTTAAACTAGTCTCCTGATTCTGCCCCCTCAGCATTCCTGATTTGCTGCCACCAACTATCTTCCTCTTCCAGATGTTCATGCAAAAAACTTACAGACATTCTTGACCTCATTCTTTTTCTCTCAGCCTACATCCAATGCATCAACATCCTGTTAGATCTATCCTTAAAATTGAGCCGGAATCTGACCTATATTCATTACATTACTCTCCTGCCTGGCCCAAATTACTTGTCTGGCTCTTATCTGATCTCTCTTCCACCTTACAGTATATTCTCAAGTAGAATAGCCAGAGGGATCCTTTTAGAATATATCTCAAATAACAGGACTACTCTGCTTAAAACCCAGTGTGGCTCTACATTTCCTCTGAGGACCGATATTTCCACACATTCTGACCTCATCTTCTACTACATTTCCTTTTTTTTTTTTTTTTTTTTTTAGTCGGAGTTTAGCTCTTGTTACCCAGGCTGGAGTGCAATGGCACAATCTCAGCTCACCACAACCTCCACCTCCTGGGTTCAGGCAATTCTCCTGCCTCAGCCTCCTGAGTAGCTGGGTTACAGGCACACGCCACCATGCCCAGCTAATTTTTTGTATTTTTAGTAGAGACGGGGTTTCACCATATTGACCAGGATGGTCTCGATCTCTTGTCCTCGTGATCCACCCGCCTCGGCCTCCCAAAGTGCAGGGATTACAGGCGTGAGCCACAGCGCCTGGCCCTACATTTCCTTCTACACACTCCACATTAGACACACCAGCTTCCCTGCCGTTTTTCAACTAAGTCAGGTAACTTCCAGCACAAGCTGTTTCCTCTGCCTAGAATGGACTTCCCCAAAACAACTGTAGAGCAGACTCTCACATTGGTCAATTCTGCTCAAATGTCACATTCGCAATGAGATCTTCTGTGACCACTTATTTGAAGTTATAACCATCTTCAAATCCCATCTTTCCTGTCCCATCTAGTACTTCAACCTCCATTATTTTGCTCCTTTTTTTTCTATTCGCTTCCATAAAATTTATCAACTTTCTATTATACAACATGATTTAATTATTTACTGGATTTTCTATGTGTTTCATTCTCTTTATTGGTAGATAAACTCCATAAGTGCAACGATCCTCCCTTTATCCAC